ACTACTCTGTGGATCAATTTTCAGATCAGTTACATTTTTAGCATGGGTAAATTTGTCATGGTCTGTTTAATTTTTAATGAAGGGCTCAGAGAGGAAACTGAGCACAGGCCTAGACAAGATTCTTGAGATGCTGAGTTTACAGGAGGAAACTCAGGAAGATTAATCCAAATCCAAAGCTGTATTAAACTTTTTTCAAATGTTTGTATTCCAGGCTAAAGGGACCTTCTTTTGATTTGTGTGATGAAACTTGTGTTAGCTTAATTTTTAATCTCAATTAGTTTGATCTTTATTTTGTTTCTCAGTTCCCCTGTTTCTCAGGGGAACTTGAATCCTTGTTTCATGGGCTTTATATCTTCCTTTAATTGCAAAATCGACAAAAGAAATGTTTTATGAAAACAGATAGGCCAAGTGCTGAGAAAGGGCTTCAGAGGAAATTATACAGAGGAAAGAATCATCTTAAGGGAATTTAAAAAACAATCTGGGGAGAAGCAACAGCAAAAGATCAGAATTAAGTGCCCTCTCGTTTGAGTTCTTATTGTTAGTGCCAGAGTCTTAATTAGAAGCAGCAACATTTTTCTGGTAAGATAAATGCTGAATTTGTTTACTTAGCTTGAAATTTTTTTTCCCCTCCACTATTTGTTGTCTCATGACAGAGAAGCAGCTGAACCAAGTCCAATACCTTTCTGAGGTCAAGTTTTTGGAAAGGGTTTGTTGTTGCTTTTGTTTGCAAAAAAAAAAAAAAAAAAAAGTCATAATGGAGTTATAAATAAATGTGAAGGTTAGTGAGGAACTTTTTCCACTTCGCTGGTGTCAGAAGATTAAAAAAAAAGATAATTATAATACCAGCAAATATTTGACATTCCCATGTCAAATTGTCTTATGTAGTTGTAAGGCTTCTAGGTAAGATAGCAGAACAAAAAATGAAGACCAGATTAAAAAAAAAAAAAATAAAAAAAGGAAAAAGATGATTCTTGAACCACTGAATCAAGCCTTCCAGAACAGTCCAAATAGGGTTATCCAGGACCACAGTCTGCCCTGGAAATGGTTCAAGAAGATCAACTAAAATACTGCTCTGGGTCTGGAAATTAAATCCAACAAATATTAAGAGCAAATAAAAGCCACTATTAGTGGGAAGAATCTTCTGGTTATTTAATTCTTTTGTAGTTTAAACATGTTATGTTTTCAGAATTTGAAGCAATTTGATCATTTCCATATGTATAAATCCAGAGAAGAGCAAACAGAACTGCTCCTTTCAATAGGAAATGGAAGAAATCCAAGTTTCTGCAGTCTCACTCTGCTTTTCACTCCTCCCCACCCCAAACAATGAGCATGGTTAACCCAATCACTGACACCATCAGCAGGAAACTCATCCCTTGAAGGAGAAAAAGTTTTCAGCTGGCTGAACCAGCTTAGACAAACACCAGTGCTGTCTCCAGGAGCGGGGGACACAACCCGCAGCCGGGGACAGAGCAGAGCACAGCCACAGCTGGCTCTGGCATGAGCTGCTGGGGCACTGCTCCTCACTCCACAGCTGGAGGATGCAACAGCTGGCTTGGCAAAGTTGGTTCTGTGGGGCAGATACCCACTGAACCTTAGGTGTGCAATCAAACAAAGTTAATGAGCTCATATGCATATGGGTGGTTAGACTTAATGCACAGTGTTTGCTGAGCTTGAAACAGAAATATGCTGGCATGTTGCTTGAGCAACTCAATGACATGCAAGAAGGAATGTAGGTGTTAAGCAGAGCTGAGTAGTTTGTATCCAATGTAGAACATGCAGGAGTCCTTCCATGGCCCAGACAAGTCACCTGCTGGGGGGAAGTTTGGTACAGGAGCTGAACTACTCAGATTTTAGGTGGCAGAACTGTCATGTGTGTCACACCAGCAGCAGACTTTGGAGGTTTGGTTTCTAGCATCACCACTTGCCCGAGTGAGACAACTCAGAAGTGAAGTTATTTATTTCTGTGGATGCTACAGTCCATTAGTCAGGAAAAGAATAGTACTGGGGGAAGGGCCCTGGCACCAGCCTTTTAGAACCAAATCAATAGTCTGCATCAGTATTTTCCCTGTAGTTCTTGGCTGCTCATATCACGTACATAAAAGCATGAGCCTTTCATTGTTTAAGATGCCTTCAACTTTGGGCCTTTTGAAAATCAGCCTAAGATGCTTCATAGTACATAGATTTTGAGATTTACAGAAATATGAATAAATATTTTCAGAATTCATGTTAGCACAACTCATTATTTAGAATGACTTGCATTTTTTCATTTGGCAGCCAACAGAGCTTATTACAAAGTTTGTATCTCAATTACATCTGGTACTTCTGGTACTTCACTGATACCAGCAGCCATAATAGAATCTGTCAGCTGAACTTGAATGCATTCAAATTACCAATGCAAATGGCTGTTATTAATTGGGGCAGGGCAAAGGCATTCAATTGCAGCATGAATCACCCTCCCATTGGGAGGCAGAAAACAGAGTACAATCATTTTGTGCTTGAGTTGTTACAAATGCAAAGTTGTGAAGACTACAAGTTGCTGTCAGGGCTGGAGACACTAGCACCAGAGTGAAGGGTCACTAGTTTTTCTGGGAGCAGTCATAGCTGTATCTTACATGGTTTTACTTTTGAAATTAATTTCTAATAAGATGCCTTCCTACCATGTTTCAAGTTGTGTGGTTTTGATCATTTAAGAAAAATAAATTAGGTTCATCTATTAAATAAGCTAGATAACATGGATAATCAGTGCACAAGATTCCGTCTGCTGGTTTTGCCTTCTGATTTTGTTTCTCACAATCAGCTTATTTGAAGCATTCTGAATTGACATTGTAACTGGTAATGGAAAAGGGACTTTTAGATCACAACACATGTGTGAGGAGTGCTGTGAGGCAGAGGTTATGCCAACCCTGATGCAGGCAGCCCCTTTTGCCTTGTTCTCCGTGCCTTGGCAGCTTGAGCAGGGACTTGCTGCAGGTACCACTGCCCTCATGGACTCACTGCAGTGACTGATCCCTTCCCATGGGCACTTGCTTGGATGGGTTTAGCAGTATCTGAATTTAGATGAGGCTGACTGCCTACATCCAGGATTAAACCTACTTGAATTTCAAGCAGGGGCTTGAAGGGCAACCCTTCCCTTTGTTATTGACCCAGAGTCCTCATGTTACTCTGGCCTTATTTCTGCCACAGGGGTGCAAGGTTCTTTCAGGGTCTCATGGGCCTCTGAACATCTACACTGTTCTGTGAGATTACACCAGTGTCCTTACACAACTTTAAAAAATATTGTATTGATATTTCATGTCTCTGTTTTGCCGCAAGGTTACAAATTACTCGTTGCACAAAGAGTCAACAAACAAGTACAATATACAGTACATTATACACAAGAAGTCATGGAAAAGTATTTTATGTACCTTTAAGAAAAGGAATATATATTTTTAGTCCATGCTGTAGTATGGGAAGGTAAAAAATGAAAATTAGCAGGCGGTAAAGTGACAGAACAGTATGAAGAAAACAGCTGGAAGGAAAAAAGAAACATCTTACATTTTGTGTAATGGAGCATATCAGAGCCCTAGTTCTGAGAAGAGAGACCATGTATGGAAGTGTTCCAATGGCTTATGAACCTATTAGAAGAAGTACTGATGGGAATTAGAATTAATCATTTTACCAGTAAAACATGTTCTTATTACAGTCAAGCAATACCAGGGAGGCCAGACTTCTGAATCAGTAATTCACCTTTCTACGTGCATATCCAGGATGAGTATTTATTGAGAAACTATTCTTTTAAAGTTGACTTGTGTGCAGCTAGATTGTTCCACATGATTTGTAAAGAATTTGGTAACATACAGAAGTACAATTAGAATATATTTATCAAGGAGATCATCTTATCAGAAAGATTAATGAAGCTTAATTTTGAAGCTATAAAAGAACAAGGTCCTTCCAGAAACCCTACTTGTACAAAGAGCACAGAAATGGATGGTAGGAACAGTCTCTAATTCCTCTAGAAAAAAAACTAATGTGCTGTTTTTTCATCCTGTTCATGCTCAGCCTTCTCTTGTTGTTAAACACTTTGTGTGTTTACAAATGCTTTCCTTAGATCAGTTACAGGGCTTTTATTCTACACTAAGTCTAAATTCTATAGATGTCATATGAGTAAATAAAAATTGGTATTACAAAATTACCATTAACAGCAAGAATCATGGGAAAGAATTTACCAGCAAGCACTGGGAACTGACCATACAAACATGTGGTGCTGCCATCTTATAATTTCATGTTAAATCTCAGTATATTTGACTAAAATGTCAGTTTTGAGCCTACAAAGAGCAGGCCTATTTCAATATATGCTCTTCTCTGCAACAGGAGTTTCTAACCCTGCATACCTTGTGTATTTCAAAATGTATTCCAAAGGCCAAAACAGCAGATTTATAATAAAAAGATTTCTGTCTAATCTCATGGTTAGACAGTATGACTCCACTGGCCATGGTCTGACTTTAGCCAGCTAGAATAGAAATGAAATAATAAAATACGTTATTGATAATTGTTTAAATGTCAAAAATATTTCCATGACCCTCTTGTTGTTCTTGCTCCCATCATCATGAAAATGCTGCAAACAGCTGTCCTCAAATTACAGAAAAGTATCCACAGTGTTGCCTGCACCTGAACGTAAGAGATCTACCTCCACCCTCCAGTAATTGTCCAGTTGCCCACTGTTCTGGTCAGGGTTCAAAAATAAGAGTTTAGTACTGCAGGATGAGTCTCTAAAGCTAGTTATAGGCATGCAGTTCAAACTGGAATAAGCTTGTCACTCATCTTGTCATCTTAAAAAGCAAAGCAAAACCCCAAGCAAACCAAAAAAGCACTCTTCTCCATATGGCAGGGATGGTCTTCTCCCATCTCTGATGAGTAAGCCATCAACTATTGATGGAAGTTTTATGATTTAACAAAAAGTAATATTTGAAAACTACTTGGCACAGATATCTTAATCAATCTCTAGTTTCCTGTGTGAAACTGGTGGTTCTGGATTTCAGTATTTATACCACAATATGGGTACCAAAACCATGCATCAAGTCTTACAGAATTTATTCTTTAAATGTGACTATTTTCCATTAACAATGTTGGTCCTGGTCCAGCCGAGGTGATACAGAATTTATCACTTCAAATTCTAAACACTTTTGCTACATCATTTATAATTTACTTGATTTTTCAAGTATGAAGATGAATTTATAAAAATTATGTTTAAAATTGATTATAGTCTTCCATTAACAAATCACAGAAAGATAAGTAGTTGCATTGCAGAATATTCCATAAATCTCTAGACCCTATAGATCCTATGATACATAACACAGCATTAAACATGATACAAGTGTCAGACTGAAAGGTTGTGCCACAGAAGGAAATCCAAAGGACCTGGATGGCTGAGGCTGAGGCTTACGCAGGTCTAGGCGACAGGAATTTTGTGCTTCTTGCAGAATTTCACTTTCACCTACGTCCATTACTCCAAAAGTGTTCCGCACCTACAAAAATTCAAAAGGTCGTCCCTGAAAGCCAGACTGGCACAACAGCAAAAAGCTTTATGCAGCTAGCAAATTCAATGCTGTTTCAAGTTACCCAACTCAAACTGTATTGCAAAACCACATCTGAGTGTGAGGAAATCAATGTCATTATTCTGCTGTTTGCATTCCTATGAAGCGCTTCCCAGAATTCAGCACATTACAGGCAAGAGTCACAGGTCTGGCTCTTCTTTGTCTTGGCTCTCTCTACATATGGAGCAAACAAACTCATGAACCTTCTTCCCTGAAAGGAGCTCACTGTCTCAGGACAGAGCTTCAATGTCTCTAATTTAGAAGGGAAAAAAACATTACTAAATCCCACAGATTGGTTAGGAGTGGTGAATTTGAGCCTCTTCATAATGTCATTCTGCCACACAAGGAGGTCAGCATTATGGAGATATTTTGGCAGGTTAACTGGAATAGTTCAAATTTCCCTCATTTCAGTTCATCCAACATGCCCGAAAAAGACAAGTGGAAGAAAGGTCACTGTGAAATATCTGTTGTCTATAAGGCTTTTTGTGTAAAATCTACTTACCTACCCCTGTCAATAAAAGTAGGAGGCAAGCAGTCTGGAAGTTTCAGCAGAGGCATTTGTAAAGTTACCATTGAGGGGGCCCTACTCTTATCCAGTCTCCTTCCCTCCTCTCCTCCCTCATCCTTCTGGATTAACTTCTACCATTTCTACTTAAAGCTCATTGGGATATAGTTGTTATGTTTATGGCTTGTTAGTGACATGGACATGGCAGAAGCCTTTTGAACAGCAGCCCAATCCCATGACAAGAATTAAATTGATTTGCAGGAATCAACATTCCTTCCTGCCCCAGCGAACACAGCCAGACTGTGATGCTGGTACATCCGCAGCTTCTCCAAACCATGAAGTGATTCCATTTTGAAGTCACTGATGTGTGCTTATCAGATTACTGCAGAGAGAAAAACTTCCAAAAAGCTTTGTCTGCTCTCTCTCATTTTCCTTTATGCTGCTAACGCTCTCTTGCCATCTTGGTTTCTTTCCCAGGGTTTGGATTTACTGAATTAGGTGCTTACATTCCCTCGTATCTCTCTCACTGAACAAAAAACCCCTCCAAAACAAAACACATAAAATGGGAAAAAAAAAAAAAAAAAACACCCAAAAAATAAACAACAAAACACCAACAGTTCCTCTTTCCCTCTTGGTAAGAATCAAGATTTAGTTTGGATTTAAATCTTACATTTTCTACTTCCCTGAAGACACGGAGAAAGTTCTCCCTTAAGACTCCTTTCAGTTCAGTTTCATTCCATCCTCTTCTAAGAAGTTCTTCTATCAAAGAAGGGTATTTAGAGACATCTTCCAATCCCTCTGGAAAGCTGTTGGCAAGAGTCACACAAGAGCATTCAACACACATCACTAACAAACTGGAGAAAAAGGGTTTTAATTAGTCTTTTGCACATATTGACTTTTGTAGTGAGCTGACTTTGGACCCAATTCTTCCTTTGAGAATTCAGCTGACAAACAGAAACAGGACTGAGACACAACAAAAGTGTTTTTCTTCACATAGGACCCAATAAACAGAACACAACTGGAATGAAGATGAACTTCAATAGAGGCAAAACAACAGCATGGAAGGATATAAGAACAAAAGGGAAAAAATAACCAGAAATTCATGTATTTGGCAATGCACACTTTCCATCAGGCCTTCAGAGTAAGAGGAAACAGCTGCATCACAGATGAAGTTGCGGCAAGCCACTCATGTAACTGAGGACAAAAGGAAACCTACAAACACATGATGAGCTCTGGAGTCGCTGGCAATTTTGTGAACTCTGTTGTTTACGAACTATTTTCAAACAAAATCCCAATTAGAATAATAATATTAGTTTGAATTAAGCCAATTGTTCGAGTAATGGAAAGAAACCTATTCAGAGCCCTCTACCAAAGGAATTACAAAAAGCAAAACTGATCTATGCCTTGTGCTAATTCTTGTCAGAATAAAAAGAATCTAGAAATAAAAAGCTGCAAAACCTGCATTAAACAGCTATTTTAAATTGTATTTCCACAAGACTTTGAGGTTGTTTTGAGATAACTAATATTTTTATTACTTTTCTGTTCCATGAAGGTATGGTGATAAGCATATCTCAAAAAATCTCTAGCAGTACTAGCAGGAATTAGGGCCTTAACAACTCCACCACTAATTTAACTGATGTTCTTTGAGAAAATTCATGATAAAATGTGCCCTTTTGTTGCAAACTGTGTTTTTATTTTGAACATTATCGTTTTAGAACTATGATATCATGGGAGCTGACACAATGGGTTTGTGTTTGTACTTTACAGATGGGGGCCTGACTCTGACTTTCATTCCCAAGCAGGCTTGACTCCAGGAGAAAAAGAAAAAAGAAGAATGAGATAATGATTTAACAGAAAAATAAAAATGAAAAAAAGGTTAAGGGTACAGCAGCAAATGCCACCCAATCTGCATTTGTTTCCTGTGCTGTAACTGCAGAAGCCCAGGAGTGAGGAGAGGTTTTGTGGAAGGCTGCTCACCAGGCTCTGCTTGCCTCAAACACTTCCCAAAAGCAGGAGGGGTTTCACAGCATCCTAGCTCTTAGTCCTTTCCCCAAGGATAGTGGAGGAAAGAGTTTTGCAGCACCTCTTTAGACTGAACCATTTACCATATAAAGGTTGAGGCAGCTTTTCTGTCATTCATGGGTGGCTTTTGGAGAAAAACAGCTCCTATCACTGGTCTTGTATGCCCAAACCACCACCTAGAACACATGGCTTCAGAGTTCACAGGGCATGAGGATCCATTTGTGGCACTGCTTCATGCAGTTCTAAAAAGAAATCATTGTGCCCCTCTTTGATAAAACTTGGGTTAGTCTCATTACAAGATAATCTGATACCAGTTTTTTTAGTCTGCCTTCTTTTTTTCCCTTAAATGAACAAAAACCCACATAATTTAAGGAGCAGATATCAATGTTTGTACAACTTTACTCACTGTTCCACTCCATCATAGTCACCACCAATTCCTATAGATTCTGAGCCTGCAATTTCCTTTATATGGTCAAAATGATCTGAAAGAAAATATCAAGATAATATCTAAGCACCTAGCAAAAAAAAAATATTACAGTTCACACATATTGGCACTGGGCAACAGCTCTCCTTAATCATGGATTCCTGATCAAATCCTTTTTTAAAAAGTCCAAAGACACTCCAGCAGACAGCAACCTTCAAAACAACAACTACACTGATGAAATGCAAATGAGGAAAGAGACATGATCATCACAGCACATTCATTCCTAACAAGCAGCCCAATTATACCAATAGAATTTTCATTATCCATTACTTACCTATGTTTCCCACTGTTAATTGCATAGGCTTAAGGTGTTTTCCAGAAAGTAACAACTACTTTGGGATTAATGGTTGCTGGCTCTGTTTGTGACCGTCCTGTCCTCCAGCTACACACACACCTTGTACCTCTTGTTATTGTTTAATGAGTATTAGCTCAGAAAGTACCTAGAGCTGGGCTAAGGTGTGGATGGAATAAACAAGCAGGGTAATTTACACAGCCTTGGAAATGATGCATGCCCCAGGATATTCACAGAATTTATACAAATTTGTAGAACCCATAAAAACTACAGTATATAAACATCAAACCTGCAAGGGTAGAAATATTAACAACTTTTCTGCCACAGGCCAGTACATCTGCATTGAAAGTCACCATGATAATTCCCTTGTTCTTTTTCTGAAAGATATGAAGAGACAAGTGATGAGTGAACACTCATGCCCTGCAAACTTCATGGGCATCTTGTATAGAGTCTTCTACACCCATCCACCAGTGAGAACAGCAACACTAAGTCAAAGTTCAGATGGCAACATGAGTTTTTGCCTCCCTGTTCTTTCCCCTGGGTTCATTTTACTTTCACGTAGACTGAATCAGCAGAAGTGCAGTGACTATGTCAAACAAACTCAACCAGAATTTCAAAGTATTTGCAAATACTTCATTTTTGCAGTCAAAGGCTAAACACAACCCAAAGAAAATGCCTCAGAAGCAATTGTAAGCTGCTGCTCAAAGATCTGCTTCTAAATCAAATTCAGGGATGAGGAGGTGGAAAGTAAACATCATGATCTGAATGCACGTTTGCTGTAGCCCATGCAAACATTGCCATTAAAACAAAAACCAAAACCCCCAAGAAGCAGAACCAAGAAATTCCTTCCTCCAAAAGCAAACCCAAGAACCATATCACTCACCAGTTGCTGGAGGATATCATCAGGAACATTTCTTGAGTGATTACAAAGAGAAAATGCTGCTGAGTGGCTGAAAATTACTGGTGCTTTTGAGATATTGAGTGCAGCTTTCACAGTGGAGTAGGAGGTGTGAGATAAATCTATCAGCATACCCAGGCGATTCATCTCCTTTACCACTTCCTAAAACAAATGTACAGACAACAGTGTCAGTATTAAGTTTCCTGAAAGGAAGCTGTTTAGTTGGTATATGGAAACAGATTAATTCTGCAGCTGCCAGCTAGTCATAAACGTGCTGTGCCTGTATTTGTTGCTGTGTACCTATTAATTCATTAGTGATTTATTCACTCAAAATTAGCCAGCATGCCACCACATGCTCACAACTTAGAAAACTTAGGCAATCTAAAATAAGTAATTGGAAATGTTATTCACATCTTATTGCTTGCGCATATGAATTCATACATCTAATCTGTATTAAAGTAATTGTAAAAAAAATCTAACACTTCTTTTACCCTAAGAAACATCGCAGGGAATTTGATGATCACCTCCTAACTGTCAAGAACTTCCAGAAATTAATTTTTAATGTCAATTTTAATGTCAATGCTTTTGAGAAGATAAGGCCAGAAGTTGTTAGTTGCATGACAGATTGCCCAGATTAACATTTGAAAGAGGTCCTTACTTGGCCAAATGCAGTCAGACCAATAACATTAGGATAAAAGTTGTGTATTCCTTTAGATGATGATTCAGACCTTAAAAAGGGGAGTGAGGGAGAAGAAACATCTTATTATTCTGGAGAATACAGTATCAGCAGCTGAAATCTCTTACACTACACACAACAAAAATTACTACAATGTCATAGCCAAATGTGGGGATAATGAGCTACGTAATAGGTATCTTGTTCAGGCAGGGCTTTTTATGTTCATAACTGCTTTCAGGTTCCCTAATGTTGATTTTTGTGAAGGAATTTAAGAAAATCAGATTGTCAAGTGTCCAAATTATAACAGGCACTACATAATGGATGGAGTCTCCTACCGTATACATGGAAAATTATTTACTCCCAAAACCTATCACCTTGACTTGGTTCAAAGTCTTTCACAGGATAAGTTTGTGTCTGGATCCATAGTTCTCCCATCATGCAGCTGCCACTCCTTTGCATTAGACAGCCACAAAAAAATGTGCACACTGGTTACCAAGGGGTGTTGCAGGAGTGTGTTAGAGTCATGTAACGAACACCCAAGTCATAGTACATCCTCAGTGCTGCCAAGCTGCTGTCAATGGAGTGGCCACCTTCTATTCCAATCAAACATGCAATCCCTCTACTGTCAGAGATACCTGGAAAACACAGAGGGAGATTATTCCAAAGTAATTCCATGACAGATAAGAAGCCAGCACTCCCAAGCAGCAATTGTCTGTGTAAATTGCAAGCAATAATAAAGACATTTTCATAGAATTGGAGCTTACAGAGTACATGTTTATATGGCAAATTTTCTCATGACTGCAGTGGACCAGGCCTGTGCACAGTCAGTGGCTGCGGTTCAGAAGAAATGTTGAAGTTACTCTTTAAAGCAGGACAACTCATCTGCTTGCATCTCTCTGTACACACCTCCTGCAATCACATTTTTAAAAATTCCTTTTTTAAGGAGGACCATCACCTTGGGAAGTCATCACAAGCTCCAGCTCTTCATAGCTGTTACACATCCTCTTGACAACATCGATTTGCTCTAAGGTCAGGCGCACAGCATCCTTGTTCTGAGCGCTGCAAAGAACATACACTGACCAAAACTGAAAGAGACATTGACAAGTAAAACAGATAATTTGTGTTTTGACTTGGACTTCCGTTTGCTTATAGTTCAGGAGCACAGACCAAAACAACTTCCTGCAGTTTACAAGGGAGTTGCCACTCCCCAAAGAAAGCTTTTTCCCCAAAGAAAGAGTTATGATACAAGGCAAGAGCACCCACTCCAGACATGACTAAGGCCTCCTGATGCACTCAGCTACTCCACAGTACATGCAGGAAAGCAAATATAAGCTTCCTTTAATTTATATATCACAAAACAAATGCTGCTGTTTTGACTAAGAGTACCTGAATTATAAAACCCAAACATTTGAAACACAACTGTCGTGAAAGAGTTTCTGTGGCTTTTCAGTTCTATTATTTTTTCTTTTCCAACATAAAGAACCAAAATCAGGGCTAGGAAGGAAGCAAGTGTAGAAATATATTCTGAGCCCCACCACCACAGCAGTACATACCTGAGCTCCCACATAACCAGCCTGAAGTTTCACAAGGTTTGTGTGGGTCATGTTGAGTTCCCTTAAGTTGACTCTGCTGAGTCTATTTTGGTAAAGGATTCTCAGCTGCAGTACAAAGTCATTGTGGCTAGAATGGAAAACAAACAGGGATTGTAATAGAAATAAGTTGTTCCCTTTCTAACCCAAGTGTAATTTCTTCCATTGTTTGAAGTCCCTTAGGCCGTTAATTGCCAATAATCCTTCTAGCAATAGATGCCTAAAAATCTCTCTTCTTTTGTGCTTCTCACCCCATGCCACCAGTGAGCAGGTTGGGGGTGTACAATAAGTTGGGAGTGGACACAGCTGAGACAGCTGACCCCAGCTGGCCAAAGGATATCCCAGACCATATACCCAGCATATAAAGTTTGGGAGAAGAAGGAAGGCAGGGGGCATTCATAATCCTGATGTTTATCTTTCTAAGAAAATGTTATGTGTGATGGAGCCCTGCTTCCTGGGGATGGCTGAATGCCTTAGTCATAGGAAGCAGTGAATTAATTCCTTGTCTTGCTTTGTTTGTGCATAGCTTTCCTTATTAAGTTGTCTGTGTCTCAACTCATGAGTTTTCTCACTCTTCTGATGCTCTCCCTCATCCCACCAGAGGGACAAGTGAGCAAGGGCTGTGTGGGGCTCAGTTGCCAGCTGGGGTTAAACCGTGACACCTGGCCAGAAAATCAAATGCTGTTTAGGATAACACAATCCTGCATTAAATACCCTCTGAACAAAAATTCCTTCCCAATGTATCACTGCAACGGTAGCTGAGTGCTGTGTGCACATAACAGCCCATGTCTCTGCTAATCTGACACTTCAGCATTTCCTCCTCACTTGTCAGACTCACAAAGAGGGTTTAGTTGAACATATTTTATATACCCATCAATCAAACGTGCATCTTGCATCAGCTCAATAGCTCTTTCTCTCATTGATTTCTCACAGCTGAATGGCACAATATCAGAAAAGGACATCAGCAGCCACAACAACTTTGCCATATTTCTCTTCATTTCCATTTTCCAGTGGAAAAAGTGCTAGAGCACAGGGATACCACAATTGTTCACTGATGACAATGAAACAGCAAAATTTCCAGTCTGCAGAGACTGTAGGTTTAACAGTGCAGGCAGAGCTGAATGCCCCTCCTTCTGATAAGGTCACTGTGAACTCTGGAGGAGGAAAGAAAAAAACAAAGAAATAATAGTAAACAGAAGGGAAGATAGCATTGGAAACTGAAACTGCTACAGTCTTCCAAAAGATTTTAGGGTCTCTTGCTATTGTGGTCTTGCATATATGACCTGTCCTAAAACTCTGCTGCTGCCACCAGCTCAGTGCTGAAGAGAACCAACTGCTCAGTCTGGCAGGCTGAGTCTGCTACACCCTGGCCTCACAGCTCTCGAAAACAACTTCCAAAACAGCAGAAGAAGACAGTTTTTTTCATTATGCTAACTTGCTTGTTCTCTTTCTGTGGTAAATCTCACACTGAAGTGAGCACCGAAACTGTTTTCTGAGAAAGTTGAGAAGTGAGCTGCTTCTGAGTAAACTGTCTTAAAACACACAGAACATCAGATGGGGTGAGAGGAACAGTAATTGCTAGAAAAAAAACCATCCTCAAAACCCTTCCTCCAATAGCAGTACAGTCTTAGAAGTTTTTCTTCCATAAATATGCATCAGAAATACACATGCATTGTGAGACCCAAAAACTTTAGAGGCACAGCACTTCTACAAACCCATAAAGTTTAGAGAGCAATCAGAAGCTGTTCCTTTTCTGCTCTGTGGCAACCATAGAGATTTCCCTCAAATGTCAAAGCACAAATACAGACTTACCCTTTTACCACAAATGCAGATTTTGTTACCACAGGGGAAAAAAGTCTTTGTATCTCTAATCTAGAAAATGTTACATTTGTTTGTGACAGGTCAGCATGCAGAATGTTAAAAAGACAAGGTCAAAAAACTGCCCAAGCAGAAGAACTCTGACAAGCTAGTACCACAAAGGCAAATTAGTTTCTGCAGGCATGTTTTGGTTGCAAATTCCTCAAGCCAAAATACAGGATAGATCTGCAGCCGGAATCTCTAGAGCTCTGCCACATCCTGACAAAAGGACTCTAAAGGAAAAACTACGATTTTATAGCCTATTATCTGCTCTGGCCACATATAAATAATGAAGTTGGTATAATATGTCAGTTCAAACTGCTTAATGGGAAAGTAGCAAATGTTTTTCACACAATAAAACTGTTCTGAAACTATAAAAACTGATACACACTGTAGATTTTGGCCCAAATATTCACAATTTTTTCCTAAATTCAACAGCAATTTTCAGGAAGATTTTTCAGCAGGAACTAAGTTTTCTTCCAGTGGTTTGACTGCTAAAATAAATTATTTTCATCTATACATTACCAAATCCCCTTTCTGTGCAGTTCTTTGTAGCTACAAGAATTTTCTATCGATTTGCTATATCAAAGTATCTTCTCAGTTTCATGCAAAATATTCTTTATACTTTGACAGTAAGACTCATTTGCCTTTGAAACAGTTTAGGTATAAAAAAGACTCATCATTAAATCATAATTCAGAGATCAGTACTTGAAAATTGAAGGAGTATTGCAAGCACTACACAAAATTAAGAATATGGTATATTAGCATCCCTGTTTAAACATTTGAAATACAAAACCCACAGCACTTTTTCCCATGCTGACTGAGAAGAGCCGAGAAGTGGAAGCTGAAATAAGATTTATAGCTTTTCTTTTGTTTATCTAGAGGCTCCTTGGAGCAGTTACCTTCTTCAGATAATACAGCCGAGTCGAAATCCACATTCCACTGTGCTGGATCCAGAGCTAAAGCTTGGCACTGGAGCTGCTTGGCATCACAGCAGCAACCAAGAAACCTCCTGTGCTTCTTTAGCTCGTGTCCCAGGCTGCACACACAGCAGGCATTTGGGAACTGCCACTTTGTGAGATGCAAGGGCTGTGCACGGGCTGTCAGCTCAGCTACACCCACGGGGGAGCCCTACCAGGCTTCTGCTGTGCCTTGCTCAAAACCCAGCATTTCCTCCCTCTCGTGGCAGCCTGGCTGTGCAGTGCACGGTGCCTCTGTTCACTAGCAGATGGTGTGTAACAGTCACTGTTTGTGTGGTTCAGAAATAGGCGCCTCTCTTCACAGAATAATTTAGGTTGGAAGGGGTTTTTGGTGGGGTGTCATCTAGTCCAGCCACCTGGTCCCAGGTGAGGTTAACTCCAAAGTTAGATCAGGTTGCTCAGGACCTCAGTCAGTGGAAGATTTGATATCTTCAATGAAAAAGAACATACAACCATTCCAGGCCCCTGTTCCAGTGCTTGTTTATTCACATTGACTATATCTCAGCCAATAAGTATCTACTTTGTGTTACTATACCTGCTGTATTTTATTCAGGACTTGCAGTGCCATTGTAGTATATTTACAAAGGTCAAAATAGTCACAAGGTACAGGTGACATTTCCAAAAATAATTATGTCTCTGAACCTACTGTGATTTTTCACTCCCTTTCAAACATGAAAATTTGGAAACAAGGAAATATGTGCAAAACAATGATGCTAGAGTTTCACAAGAAGTGGTTTGCTTATCATAATTTTTATTTCATTTCATACTTTTTACTGGAAACCAAAAGGGCATCTTGCTTTTGTTTATGATTCCATAGCAGAGAAATGACCAAGTCTCATGATCTAATCTCCCACAGACCTGTTGTGCAAGTCCTGTCTTAAGTGATCACACAATTCTCATCAATCCTCTAGTTCCCACTAACTGGAAAACTTAAACAGAACGCCACACATTCCTGGGAATTCTGCTGCACATTGCTGATTCGGTGAACTTCACTTATAAACATTTACTATCCACTTCTCTGGACTAGAGAACCCTAAACAATACAGATGAAGTAACAAGAGCAAAGACAAATGTTTTCTCTTTCTAATCTAAAGTTTGGCAGATCAGATAAGGATGGCCAGAGCCATCATTATGCCTATGACAATTTCATATGAAATTAAAGCAGCAGTTATCAGGTTCAGACTCCTTTTCCATTTATGGTCTAGTTCTAGCCCATATTTCATTGTTAATTTTAAACTTTTAAGGTTTTCATCACTATCTTCCAGAGTAATTAAATATCACATGCCTTGCAATTTATTTTTCCCCTTTTCTGAATCTTCTCTCCTTGCAAAGTCAAGTTAAATCTCTGATCTGATTTCTACCTGAAACTCTTTTTCCACATCTTTGCAGAAAAGCTAAATTCACCAACTCCTTGTTCAACAATAGTTCTTGCTGAGCCATTGAGCACCTTCTTGAGCTTTTAACAGCTCACTTCTTTGTGGATTCAGAACATAACTGATTTTTAAAGCTGCTAAATGCCAAATGCTTCCTTTGGTTCATCATGAGCCATACAATGAGTTTCTTCTATAATTTTATTCCAATAACCCTGGATTAGTGTTAGCAGCTGTTTGTGCATTATAATTCTTACAATGTGGCATTTGTGATGTGCATCCTTCCTGCAGAGTTCATCTGGCAGGACTGGTCTCTTGATAAGTATCCCAGGAGCTATCTTTATTGTCCAGAATGTTGATACACAGCTGTCTCTCCCTGATAATAGCTATCCCTCTGTTTATAGCATGTTTTATTCACCTCACACATATTTTGGAGCAGGCTGAGATGCTGTAAAATAACTGCAGCACTCACACTCAAATCAGCTGCTGTCAGGAGACAGAGGGATAACATTATGTGTTGGAAGTACTTTTCCCACTAGGAAGGTTTGTTCCAGCCCAGAGCCTCTTACACATCCAAACCACTGATAGATTTTACTGCCAGCACAGATTGGGCAGTAGATGACTGCAGCTGGGAAAGTAGGACTTTGTACATGCAGATGCCTATTGCAGCAGCCATTTCTAACTGCAATTTTGTCTTCTGTAAAATTCTTCTCTTCTACCAGCTCCTGGCATCAACTACACTACATAACAGCACTTTAGAATTTGGGATGG